ATTAGTGTGTTCGGTCTGGGGGAGCGTTTGGTATGCGTTTGACTGATCGAGCTCAGGCTGCCTCGTTGCTACCATAACGGCGCCACTCGCAACAGAATGCATGATGATGGCTCCCACTAGTAACATGGTTCCTCTCCAGCCGTAGGTGTCTAAGAAAAGCTGGACCAGGGGCGCGAAGACGATCAGTCCCACGGAGTAGCCGGTCCGTGCGATGCCATTGGCTGTGGCGTAGTTCTTGGTAAAACAGCGTCCGACAGCCTCCTTTGCAACGACATTAGATATACCTTTGGCAGTACCTTCAAAGATATAATATAAAAAATGGAAAATTGCGTGAAATGGAAAATACGCAATTTCATTTGCGTATTTATACCCTATTTCTTTCAGTTGTTGACGCATACAATTGTCTACGAACTAAACAAATATTGAAAAAGATTACAATTTTGCATAGTAATTGTTACATGAAAAATGCTTATTTAAGGTTTTAAGACCTACGTTACACGGATTATAACAGACACAAAAAAAGTAAATATGTAGAAATGAACAGATGAAAACGTAAAAATACGGAAGATGGCCTACAATTATGAGATGAATTTGAATGATATTTATATAACATTGATTGCAAAATGACAGAATCGATTCATCTATCGCACGTTCAGCAATTGCAGACGACGAAATTGAATTGTCTTTCACGAAAAAAGTATGGCGAAAATGAGCGACCAAAGACGAAATTAAAAACGATGTATGCAGGATCATGAATTTTCAAGACGAAATTGAGGTCATCACAGAACCGAGCCCAATCTAGCTCATGCATTTTGGGGGGTAATTAGTGCCTCTGCACTCTTATCTGAGATAAAGTAGGTATCCGTTACACTGGGTGGAGCCCAGGACTAACCGACATTATTGCCACTTCAGGAGTGGTTATTATTAGTTAATACGCAACACACATTACGCCGCACACAGACCCTTTACACCCCCGTGGTCAGCATTATGCCCGTGTGAAGCAATCATTAAGATGTTCATCTCAACTTGAAGGTTCAACAGCATGCTAGCTCTGCGTTATATACTTCGTACACAACTGACGACTGGGATTTGATGTACCATTGTCACGTTAGGTATCCAATTTCCTTAAAACACATGGATACAACAACATTGATAAGAAACATTAAACAAAAATTACACGAAAAAAAATCAGTTCAGCTGCTGTCGTAGATTCTCTTGTATTTCGCACTGAATCACACACTCAATGCATTTATTGACAACTTCCTATAATGTGATTTATTGAGGTACTGATATGCCAATAAACATTAAAAGTGTGAAATACAAATACTGTACAAAAATGAAAAAGTTGTACACGCTTGGGTCTAGTATACCCAATCTAGGTAAAGCATGATACATCAAGCAATCAGTTCAGACCCCGCAAGATTAAACTTGTGACAAACTTGCCCTGCCGCTGGAACAAACTTTTGCCATGGGGTGCTGGAATAAAGGACGGACAAAATTAATGCGAAAGCCACGTCGTGGCTTAATTTGGAATAAAGATGCTCTGTGTGGGGGCGATTCCTGGCCACTTTCATTTGACTTTTTTAGCAAAAGTTTTTTGAGATTATGAAGACAATTTATTTCATTATTTTGTTAGAATATACTGTTGCTCTTAAAACGTTTAACTGTACTGAAAAGTGGAGAACGCTGTATTTTTATCTCCATTATTGGTTCCATTTCATTCTGGAAAAAGAATTGTATCGTTTTGCATGACATCGCATGTAAATATTATTGTTGCAAGGCTGCTTTCTTACATTTAGTAAATTCCTTCGTGTATGTTTTGTTTTATTACGGCGTGGGGCCACAGGGCCACAGGGAGATATTTTTATCTCCATTATTGGTTCCATTTCATTCTGGAAAAAGAATTGTATCGTTTTGCATGACATCGCATGTAAATATTATTGTTGCAAGGCTGCTTTCTTACATTTAGTAAATTCCTTCGTGTATGTTTTGTTTTATTACGGCGTGGGGCCACAGGGCCAGGGGCCACTTTAGTTCTATATCACCAAACAATGTAGCTCTCCATGTATGCAGTGTTATTTGTTTGTTACAGAGAATGGCAAATATAAAAGACTAAAAGACCAAATGCATCTTTATGTTTGTGCTCGGTAGATAGCAAGTTTGGGGCTAGGCAAGGATTTATCGGTCTACTGAGATTTTATGAGGAAAAAGTTGCAGAGGATGATGAATAGCTTTTTTATGGCAGGGATTTATCGGTCTACTGAGATTTTATGAGAAAAAAACTTGCAGAGGTAAAACATGAATAGCTTTTTTATTAAAACGAAACTACACTGGAATTGTAGCATGACTATAGTTTCAATTAAAAAGCCCGTCCCACTCCTTTTAGGTTGGGGTTGTGTCACGGTGAACCTTGCTATTTGTTAATCTTGAGTACAGAATGCTAGCAACGTCAATGAAACTTTTAAATGAAAAGAAAAACCTTCAGGGGAAAGGTATGAACATTGGCCCCTATTAAAAGATCGAATGAAAAAAATCCTGGCAAGCATAAACAACTTTGCCACCATCGTCATGGCCGGGGTTATTGCTAATTCAGGGTCAAAGCTTCTATCACCGGTGGAAATATCATAGACATGTCATAATTTTGGATACCTTGAGAGAAATATCGATTCTGCACTGCCTGAAGATTTAGAAAATACCTCCTCTTGATATTTTACAGTGTTTGTGCTAGACTTTCGAAGCGCCGCGCTTAGCCGCGGCAAAACTAGAAACGAACAAAACGAAGGAGATATTTGTAGAGCAAGCATAATGTATAGCGTAGCGGCGCAATTTCATCGTCGCGTAGAACACTGCTGGCTGGAACACATTTTTGCCCAGGAGAAGGGGGTGCTAAAGCATATTCCAAGCACCCCAATCCGAAAAGTTGGGGTGCTGCAGCATCCACAGCACCCCCGTTCCCGGGGGCTTGAATCTTGACTGTTATTATTCAGAAACTTAGACCATGCTTCCAGAAGAAGCATTAGGCTATGCCCATACGGAAGATTATGGAAAACAACTTGGTCAGTAAAAACCATTGGCCAGAGTTTTTTTTTTATGGAAGTCGGCCTAGTGGCCCAAGTGCCAGTTTATTACATATTTTCAAGAGCTTTCAAAGTAACAGAAAATAAGTAGGATAAAAACACCTTCCTTCATATTATTAATTGTTCCACAAAATTGAGCTTTAATACATAAACTATTTGTTATTCAAAAACAGCTTCATCGTGTGTACTTAACGAAAAGTTAAAACCACAAACGTGCGACTGCAAGGCGAAATAATTTTTGACGTTCTAAAAAAAACGAACTGATGTGATAACAAACTAATGACCATGACTAATAAACACATAAATCTCATATTGGGTATAAACTTCTCTAAGTCATAGATGCAATTTGTATAATTATATGTTTGAGTACTATTAGGTTGACATCACATTGCTTTTTAATCGTTTTTTTTTTTGGCGAAGACTATTGTTTTGTACTGCGGAAAAGAAATTGTATGAATGTTCAATCAACCAACCAAGAGATAATGAACTGACTTGTATGGGTGGTAGTTTTTCGTTGACTGAATCGAGTGGCGATTACTTATAAAAATGAGAACAAAAATTGTTTTGAGTACACCTACTTCTGAATATTCAAAACACTCTGTAAAAAGGATGACATATCACCAAACTATTGGATATTTGTCCAGATTTTATTTGAACATAAACCCTGTGAAGTGTTGCATATTTCCAGAGTGATTCAGTCATCGGATTTCTGTTGAAAAATAAATTAGAGCTTACTTTGATCATAGCTCAATGCTTTGATTCACCTTCCCACTATAAGGGGAGAAATTCTGTTGACAATTTAAAGCTTATTTTAATCGGCGCTCTTCATAAGGGGCGGATTTAACATGTTGACAATTTAGAGCTTAATTCCTTTGATTCGCCCTCTCAACAAAGGGACGGATTTCAGTTTAACGTTGAGAGCTTACTTTGATTCGCACTCTCAATATTAGGGTCGATTTCTGTTGGCAATTTAGAGCACTCTTTGATTCACCCTCTCAATAATAAGGTGCGGATTTCTGTGGACAACTTAGAGGTTAAACTCACCGTCCCAGTTAAGGTGGCGGATTTCTGATGACAATTAAACTGAGGAGTAATTACTTTGATTCGCCCTCCAAAAATTGGGGGCGGATTTTTAAAGTTAGGGGGCCTATATTGATTCGCACTCCCAATAAGGGTGCACATTTCTGTTGACAATATAAAGCTCATTTTGACCCTCCCCCCCCCACTTTAAAAGTTAAACATATTCAGAAACAAAGTCCTTTAAAGACCCATCTTAAAAACAAGAAAAAAAGATTTTATCAATCGTATTGTTTGCCTAACCAGGGTTGTAAATAAAGACATTGTATACTACAGTTGTTGGAAAAAGTGTTCTGAGTCAATTTCTTTGTTGTTCCAAACAGTCAGAATACACAATAAATTGTCTTTTTGTGTGTGTGATGAAACAGGTTTTAGGGTTATTGCGTTAAAATGTTGATATTCTCTGAACGGATTGAGCAAATTCAGTATTTTTTCATCTAACAATAGCTTATGAAATTGGCTTTCCAGTCATTATTATTTTGGTACTACATATTGTTTTAAATATGAAATTTATTTTGGGGGGTTTGCCTCCGCCTTTTTTTTTACTCACCCATTAATAGCATTTGGTTGGCCAATTATAAAGTGTTCAGAAAAGCCTACGCGAAAAGTAATCCCAAGGTTCATATAATCTCACGTCCAAGTCGTCTCGATCTTGATTATTTTCCTAACCAATGCTAACCATGATCGCTATTCTTGCTCCAAGCATCCAAGAATGCTCGAAGTCAAATTGTTCCTTGCTCTTTGCTTCAGCCACCTGAATCACATAGCTGCACTGTACATACACAATGTACATGCTATCCTACAATCTAGCTCCATGATAATAGCATCATATGGATGGTCATGTGGCAGGGCCAAGTTTTACTTGTAGTTTTTACTGTATTTTTTTGTAGTGTTTTAGGATAGGAGTAGGTCCCCTGAATAAATCACCCCTTTTATTAGATGTCCCCTACCCTTTCATAGAAGTGTGTACCCCTGATTAGCTTTCCCCAGTAACAGTTCACATTGTATGTAAATTGTTCCCATGCCATTGGTTCCCCCTGTCTCAAGACCATGTGCCCTGCCCACCCTGTAAGACCACAGACCCCTCATGATCAGTAGCAGACCAGCGGCAGTAGAGAGAGGGCCGTGCATTTTATTACCTCTCTTTCCCCCTTGATTTTCTTGGGTGCGCTTTGCCCTGTGTGAGAGTTTATCTGCTCGAGTTATTGGTGAGTTCTGATATATGTTTTTTGTATTTTCTCATTAAGTGTATTATTAAGTTTTTTTTATAAGTTTTGATCTGTTTTGGTATTGTTCAGAGTTTTGACAATCAAGTTTTATAGAATTCCTGAACAGCCTTGTAAGTTGTAGGAATTATCACTTGAAGTTTTGAGATTGGGTTTATTTAGAAATTACTTGCAGAAAGTAAGCTTGTATTGTTTGATTTTGATTGATCAGGATCATTAGACATGTTAGAGTTCTGTTATTTTCGAGGAAAACTGTGTTGTCAGAAGTTTGATTTATTTCATTGACTTAATTTCCGAGGAATGACTTGGATAGATGCATTGCATTGCCTTTTTCTTTTGACATCTGATTTCAGTATTTTGGATGGTGTTTTCTTCATTACCTTTATTGTTTTATTGTACATGTATAAAGCCAAGAGGAGTGGTTTTCCCACAGACTTCTTACTGATTAGTTTGCCATGTTTATTCATTAGTTAGACTTGTCCAAGCTGTTCATTTACTGTAGACTTGCATTTCCTTTATTTTGTATTTAGCCACCTGTTTCATTTAGTTATTCTTATCTGCTTTGGACCTGTGCAAGTTTACTATTCAGGAATGTTGAATTACCCCCTTGGTGATTAGTCCCACCTGGCATTCAGAAGACAGGGACCACTGTTTATCTTGCTCATTAGGTATTCACGAGAAATTGTAGTGTTCTTGGCAAGAGTGTATAGTAGTTCCACATGGCATTGTTTATATTACTTTAGACCTAGTGTAGCTTGAGTTGTTTGCATTGTTTACTGTTTTTTATTATGTTCTTTACTCTCTTATCTTGTTTTACAGATTTTCTGCCAGCAGTGTCTTTAAGGTCTACTAATATACACACTGTGTTGGTTTGAGTCTTTGGTTTTAGGTTTAAGTTTTTGGTCTTCATCTTTTGTTTTGATTTTGATTTGAAGTTCTTGTAAATAAATTCCTTTTGTCTTTTTTTGTTCGAAATCTAGAATTGTTTCCCTTGTCCCTATTAATTCAGTCTCCTCGCGCCTTTTCTCTTCAAAGATCCTGAGTTTAGTTTGGTTAGAATCCCCATAGTTGTATTAGTTTTCGCGAGTTCCCCAGGTGTGTCATTTTTCCAGGTTACATTTTTTTCTATTTTTGGTGGAAGATCCGGGTAGGGAATATATTTTTTTAGTAAAATTTAGCCAGGAATTGTTTTGATAGGGACGACAGGCATTTTTTCAAAGGTTTTTTTCTGTCTTTGGTGGTCAGTTTAGATAAGTCAAGTAATAGAGTCTATAAACCAACACAGTGTTGTTATATTGGTGGATCGGACAAGTACATGATGGTGGATGTCAGGACTCCACTCCAGCTCTGTGGTTTCGACCCAGTACCTGCTGAAACCTGCAACCTTGAAGTCCCTGATGTGCAGCCACAGTCTGAGATGCTGAGACTCCTGCAGCACCAGTCCAGTATGCAAGAGGTTATTCTGCAGCAATTTCGGCAGATAAACGCACTCAAGGAGATGATGCGGCAGGTGATGGGCGAACAGATGAGGCAGAGATGCTACATACATAGTCTGGAGTGCGCCCTGTCAGATGTTAAGGTGAATCAGCGTCCCCCAAATCAGCCAGTTCCAGAAGTCCCCATCCCACATCGGCCAGTACCGAAAACCCCCAACCCGCAGCCAGTGCACGAAGTCCCTAAGCCCATCCCCCAGCCAGCGCCAGAAACACACGCAAGCACCCCTGATGAGGCGACACAGGCCAGCTCTCAGGGAGGTATGAGTTCCGAAAGGATAAGCCTCAGGGAAGCTCAGCTGAAAGATCCCGCAATCAGGCGGGTTGTTGAGCTCAAGACGGCAAGCCCCCTGATGACAAGGAGGCAAATGTCCCAAGAAACCAGAGTGGTGCAGAAGTTGCTAGGAGTATGGCGTCGACTAGAGGTGAAGGGAGGACTTCTGATGTACAAGAAGGGCGGCGGGAAGGCTACATGTAGATACCTGGCAGTGGTTCCCCGACAGCAGAGAGAGGAAGTGTTTCATAGTCTCCACGAAAGCATGGACAAGTTCGGCTATGGAAGAATCCTGAAGCTTGTCAAGGACAGGTATTATTGGCCTAGTCTTCATAATGAAGCAATGGCATACATGAGGTGTCATCGCAGGGGCGTACAGCGAAACGGGAGAGAAGCGTCCGGTGAGATCTCACCGCCTCCAGAGTTCCGGGATGACAGAGGACCCTGATCACTGTATTTTTGTCTAGTTTAAATTTGTGGTTGACTTAAATGTCCTCAATAATGTATTGAAGCGTATTGTGTATTTTAGCATTTTGTTTGTTTGTTTTAATCATGTTTAATTGAATTAAGTTGATTTTTATTGCCATTGCTGGGGACAGCAATATTTTAAAGATGGCGTGAGTGTGGCAGGGCCAAGTTTTACTTGTAGTTTTTACTGTATTTTTTTGTAGTGTTTTAGGATAGGAGTAGGTCCCCTGAATAAATCACCCCTTTTATTAGATGTCCCCTACCCTTTCATAGAAGTGTGTACCCCTGATTAGCTTTCCCCAGTAACAGTTCACATTGTATGTAAATTGTTCCCATGCCATTGGTTCCCCCTGTCTCAAGACCATGTGCCCTGCCCACCCTGTAAGACCACAGACCCCTCATGATCAGTAGCAGACCAGCGGCAGTAGAGAGAGGACCGTGCATTTTATTACCTCTCTTTCCCCCTTGATTTTCTTGGGTGCGCTTTGCCCTGTGTGAGAGTTTATCTGCTCGAGTTATTGGTGAGTTCTGATATATGTTTTTTGTATTTTCTCATTAAGTGTATTATTAAGTTTTTTTTAGAAGTTTTGATCTGTTTTGGTATTGTTCAGAGTTTTGACAATCAAGTTTTATAGAATTCCTGAACAGCCTTGTAAGTTGTAGGAATTATCACTTGAAGTTTTGAGATTGGGTTTATTTAGAAATTATTTGAAGAAAGTTAGCTTGTATTGTTTGATTTTGATTGATCAGGATCATTAGACATGTTAGAGTTCTGTTATTTTCGAGGAAAACTGTGTTGTCAGAAGTTTGATTTATTTCATTGACTTAATTTCCGAGGAATGACTTGGATAGATGCATTGCATTGCCTTTTTCTTTTGACATCTGATTTCAGTATTTTGGATGGTGTTTTCTTCACCTTTATTGTTTTATTGTACATGTATAAAGCCAAGAGGAGTGGTTTTCCCACAGACTTCTTACTGATTAGTTTGCCATGTTTATTCATTAGTTAGACTTGTCCAAGCTGTTCATTTACTGTAGACTTGCATTTCCTTTATTTTGTATTTAGCCACCTGTTTCATTTAGTTATTCTTATCTGCTTTGGACCTGTGCAAGTTTACTATTCAGGAATGTTGAATTACCCCCTTGGTGATTAGTCCCACCTGGCATTCAGAAGACAGGGACCACTGTTTATCTTGCTCATTAGGTATTCACGAGAAATTGTAGTGTTCTTGGCAAGAGTGTATAGTAGTTCCACATGGCATTGTTTATATTACTTTAGACCTAGTGTAGCTTGAGTTGTTTGCATTGTTTACTGTTTTTTATTATGTTCTTTACTCTCTTATCTTGTTTTACAGATTTTCTGCCAGAAGTGTCTTTAAGGTCTACTAATATACACACTGTGTTGGTTTGAGTCTTTGGTTTTAGGTTTAAGTTTTTGGTCTTCATCTTTTGTTTTGATTTTGATTTGAAGTTCTTGTAAATAAATTCCTTTTGTCTTTTTTTGTTCGAAATCTAGAATTGTTTCCCTTGTCCCTATTAATTCAGTCTCCTCGCGCCTTTTCTCTTCAAAGATCCTGAGTTTAGTTTGGTTAGAATCCCCATAGTTGTATTAGTTTTCGCGAGTTCCCCAGGTGTGTCATTTTTCCAGGTTACATTTTTTTCTATTTTTGGTGGAAGATCCGGGTAGGGAATATATTTTTTTTAGTAAAATTTAGCCAGGAATTGTTTTGATAGGGACGACAGGCATTTTTTCAAAGGTTTTTTTTCTGTCTTTGGTGGTCAGTTTAGATAAGTCAAGTAATAGAGTCTATAAACCAACACAGTGTTGTTATATTGGTGGATCGGACAAGTACATGATGGTGGATGTCAGGACTCCACTCCAGCTCTGTGGTTTCGACCCAGTACCTGCTGAAACCTGCAACCTTGAAGTCCCTGATGTGCAGCCACAGTCTGAGATGCTGAGACTCCTGCAGCACCAGTCCAGTATGCAAGAGGTTATTCTGCAGCAATTTCGGCAGATAAACGCACTCAAGGAGATGATGCGGCAGGTGATGGGCGAACAGATGAGGCAGAGATGCTACATACATAGTCTGGAGTGCGCCCTGTCAGATGTTAAGGTGAATCAGCGTCCCCCAAATCAGCCAGTTCCAGAAGTCCCCATCCCACATCGGCCAGTACCGAAAACCCCCAACCCGCAGCCAGTGCACGAAGTCCCTAAGCCCATCCCCCAGCCAGCGCCAGAAACACACGCAAGCACCCCTGATGAGGCGACACAGGCCAGCTCTCAGGGAGGTATGAGTTCCGAAAGGATAAGCCTCAGGGAAGCTCAGCTGAAAGATCCCGCAATCAGGCGGGTTGTTGAGCTCAAGACGGCAAGCCCCCTGATGACAAGGAGGCAAATGTCCCAAGAAACCAGAGTGGTGCAGAAGTTGCTAGGAGTATGGCGTCGACTAGAGGTGAAGGGAGGACTTCTGATGTACAAGAAGGGCGGCGGGAAGGCTACATGTAGATACCTGGCAGTGGTTCCCCGACAGCAGAGAGAGGAAGTGTTTCATAGTCTCCACGAAAGCATGGACAAGTTCGGCTATGGAAGAATCCTGAAGCTTGTCAAGGACAGGTATTATTGGCCTAGTCTTCATAATGAAGCAATGGCATACATGAGGTGTCATCGCAGGGGCGTACAGCGAAACGGGAGAGAAGCGTCCGGTGAGATCTCACCGCCTCCAGAGTTCCGGGATGACAGAGGACCCTGATCACTGTATTTTTGTCTAGTTTAAATTTGTGGTTGACTTAAATGTCCTCAATAATGTATTGAAGCGTATTGTGTATTTTAGCATTTTGTTTGTTTGTTTTAATCATGTTTAATTGAATTAAGTTGATTTTTATTGCCATTGCTGGGGACAGCAATATTTTAAAGATGGCGTGAGTGTGGCAGGGCCAAGTTTTACTTGTAGTTTTTACTGTATTTTTTTGTAGTGTTTTAGGATAGGAGTAGGTCCCCTGAATAAATCACCCCTTTTATTAGATGTCCCCTACCCTTTCATAGAAGTGTGTACCCCTGATTAGCTTTCCCCAGTAACAGTTCACATTGTATGTAAATTGTTCCCATGCCATTGGTTCCCCCTGTCTCAAGACCATGTGCCCTGCCCACCCTGTAAGACCACAGACCCCTCATGATCAGTAGCAGACCAGCGGCAGTAGAGAGAGGACCGTGCATTTTATTACCTCTCTTTCCCCCTTGATTTTCTTGGGTGCGCTTTGCCCTGTGTGAGAGTTTATCTGCTCGAGTTATTGGTGAGTTCTGATATATGTTTTTTGTATTTTCTCATTAAGTGTATTATTAAGTTTTTTTTAGAAGTTTTGATCTGTTTTGGTATTGTTCAGAGTTTTGACAATCAAGTTTTATAGAATTCCTGAACAGCCTTGTAAGTTGTAGGAATTATCACTTGAAGTTTTGAGATTGGGTTTATTTAGAAATTATTTGAAGAAAGTTAGCTTGTATTGTTTGATTTTGATTGATCAGGATCATTAGACATGTTAGAGTTCTGTTATTTTCGAGGAAAACTGTGTTGTCAGAAGTTTGATTTATTTCATTGACTTAATTTCCGAGGAATGACTTGGATAGATGCATTGCATTGCCTTTTTCTTTTGACATCTGATTTCAGTATTTTGGATGGTGTTTTCTTCACCTTTATTGTTTTATTGTACATGTATAAAGCCAAGAGGAGTGGTTTTCCCACAGACTTCTTACTGATTAGTTTGCCATGTTTATTCATTAGTTAGACTTGTCCAAGCTGTTCATTTACTGTAGACTTGCATTTCCTTTATTTTGTATTTAGCCACCTGTTTCATTTAGTTATTCTTATCTGCTTTGGACCTGTGCAAGTTTACTATTCAGGAATGTTGAATTACCCCCTTGGTGATTAGTCCCACCTGGCATTCAGAAGACAGGGACCACTGTTTATCTTGCTCATTAGGTATTCACGAGAAATTGTAGTGTTCTTGGCAAGAGTGTATAGTAGTTCCACATGGCATTGTTTATATTACTTTAGACCTAGTGTAGCTTGAGTTGTTTGCATTGTTTACTGTTTTTTTATTATGTTCTTTACTCTCTTATCTTGTTTTACAGATTTTCTGCCAGAAGTGTCTTTAAGGTCTACTAATATACACACTGTGTTGGTTTGAGTCTTTGGTTTTAGGTTTAAGTTTTTGGTCTTCATCTTTTGTTTTGATTTTGATTTGAAGTTCTTGTAAATAAATTCCTTTTGTCTTTTTTTGTTCGAAATCTAGAATTGTGTCCCTTGTCCCTATTAATTCAGTCTCCTCGCGCCTTTTCTCTTCAAAGATCCTGAGTTTAGTTTGGTTAGAATCCCCATAGTTGTATTAGTTTTCGCGAGTTCCCCAGGTGTGTCATTTTTCCAGGTTACAGTCACACACTGGCATGGGTAACACCTATACTGACCACGGCCTGCAAGTCACTGCTCTTAGCTAGTGGATCAGTTACAACTGACCAAAAGTAGGCTCTTATCAGTCTAAACATGCTCAAACATCAGGTAATTTGCTGCAGGCACTGCATGCTTCATTAGGCTTGAACCTCAGAAACTGAGGTTTGAGAAAATGCATTAGATTGGGCTCAGTTCTGTAATGGTAGCGAAAATGAAAAGCGTGTTCAGAGCGATTCTCCATTTCAGACGAAAATGATTGACCGATTTTCAGAAGTGATTGAACATTTTAGGAAATTGGCCGGGAAAACCTATATTAAACAAATTCGATGGAAATATTATTTAACATTTTAATTAACATTAGATTTATTAGCTCAATGATGACTGGAAGGAAGCTGGAGTATCTCTGCGATAGAATCTGTTTGCTACGAGTGTTAAATTAATCGGAAAAACCGAAACATTTCATGTGGAAATTCAATGAAGTTGAAATCGTTGTTTTTCAATGTTTTTGAATACAACCTGCCAGTAACATGTACAGCAACGCCAGTTGCAGAGAGTTCTCGACGAACGATCCGGCAATGACCGCTGCACTCATCATCACGCCACACGTCATCATGGCGTAACCAGCCCCAAAGCGCCTGCTCACTAATCCTCCGAAAGGAGCTGTGGAGACGTAAAATATTTGATTTTGAGTTGATCAAAGGATGGAACATCCTTGTTTCTAGATGCGAATGAAGTTGGATAACAATTAAGTAGGATAACAATTAAGTAGGATACCATACAGTGAAAATTCTGTTCGGCTATATTGCGTTTTGGGCACAACGATGATGCCTGTAGTAACTTTAAGAGTAATATAATCAACTTGTCATAATAGTCAATTATGATGTGATCAGACCACCGAAGAAATAATAATGATCGTGCAGTTTACTTTCCGCACGTATATCAGTTCACACAATTTCAACATTTATGTGTATTTAATTTTAAAATAATGACTGTGAAATAGAATGAAAATGGTATTGCTGAAGGGACCCATTTGAAACCGATGCATGGAGAAAATTAAAATCATAATTATATTTTGAAAGTATCATATTCACATGTAGTCTGGGTTGCATTACAACCAACAATTATTACATTTAAATAGTGGCTTACAGTCATGCAGATGAGTAATTGATATACGCATGAAAAAGCTCAGTCAATTTTAATACATTACAACACCCATGCATGCGCTTCTTCGCAACGCCATAAATATAATACACACAGTTGAATTAAATTGCAGTTGAGAAAAATACTGTCAGTGTTACCTACGAATCCACTTGTTGCGGTTGTCAGTGACGCTATCCAGCCGATAATCCACATTTGGGAGGTCAGTTGGAATTGCAAAATTGGCAGCATTATCCCGAGAACTTTCGTAATGCCGGTCACCATGAAGTTTTTGGTCCAGAGGGCGAGGACCGCGACCCAGCCGGGCCTTCCGCCGTCCGGCCCCTCCAGACTGTTGCTCACCGCCCCGCTCATAGTCCGGAGATGTTGGTGAAGGAACAGTGTGCGCGGTGGTTGACTTTCTTGCTCAAAGGTTTTAGAAGGGGTACCGGGTGGGCATGGACATGGTATATACATAACACATCTCGCAGTTACGTGACACCGCCATCACGTGAATATTATGGAAATAATTTATGAGTGAGATAGTCCTACATTTAAATTGCCATGTGAGATTCAATAAGCGACATGTACGTGTACACCGTATGCAGCCTCAATAAATGGCGAACACCAGGAAATGCAAACCACCCATTGTCAAATTCCATTGTCAAGGCCGGTTGCACAAGCTCATTGAGCTTGTGCAACCGGCCTTGACAATGGAATTTGACATTTGCTAGAATAAATGGCATGTACGTACATAGATCTTGGATAACACATACTCGGTTTTTAAAAACACATTCCGTTTTTTTATTATGTCTGAGCCTTTTTGACTCTAGTTCTGCTTCGTACCAAGACAGCCTTTGCTGCTTTGGCCCCCCCCCTCCCCACCGGGTGCCCCCCCCCCCCGCCCACCGGGTGCCCCCCCCCCCACCCACCGGGTTGCACCCCCCCCCCACCGGGTGCCCCTGACGTTGGCACTCAAAACCTCTGCAAGTGCAAACAGCCATTCCAAGAATTCAATCAATGCATTCACTTGGCAAAATGAATATTCAACACTTCAATTTATGCAAAGTACCAATACACTAACCAATGGTAACTCTACTGGAGTTGACTGCCCCATTCTTTGATGGTTCAATAACTACTTCTAGAAATAGTTGGGTGTGGCGGTCCCGAGGAAAATAAATTGTGTGTCTCTAAACCACTTCCGTTTAACCGAACTCAGAAATTGTAGGCCCCTAAAAATAAATTAGTGTTTTGTCAGTTTAAAGAGTCATTTCGATTAAAAACCAAGTATCACTTTGTGACAACTATCTTAAGACATTTATTGGGATAATTACGAAATTAAATGCAGCGGTCAACTCTGTCGAAGCACGGTATAGTGCGCCCTCATTTGACTTGGGGTCCATAAGGGGCGGGCTTAGCAAGTAATGGTGATTATTTTTTCCCCCGTGATGTTGATGCATGTAGGTTTACATCGAGCTAATTAAAACTAATAACCAAATAGATAATTAGTATGATTTAAAGGCTGTGAAGGTGACAGATGGCTAGGCGTCTGGCTGCAGATGTTTCCCTCGTAATTGTGGATCTTCGTTTGAATGAATTTTGTGCATACAGGATTTTCAAAAAAACAGTGCCCCATTTTGGGGCGATGGCTTCGGAAGGAGTGAGGGCCCCGTCTTCCCCCCCCCCCCAAAGAAATCCCTCGGGTTCGAGTCCGAAAGGGAGGCTTTTTACAAGGTTACGAAAATTAAGAGAAAGTGAAGATCAAGATGCCTCAAAGTTTTATACGCGACCGATAGGCGTTCGGGCTATTTCGCAAACATGTATTATCTTCAAATCAGCAACGGCTTGTTTCATACACTTTTTTTTAAAGACAAATACAGGCAAAAGTACGGAAACACTCAACATCCTAGTAATCTATCGATGATGATCTACCACTGGGATATATAGATGAATGAGTTGTTATGGGCATGGTGTATTTTCATATATGGCAGACAAACGTCGCCTGCACCGTAGCGCAAACGTGCGATGCGCTTGGCAGCAATAGGATCTTCTAGACGAAATTATATAGGGCCTACTGTTTAAGTTAGTACTTGTACTTGCTAAGGCCAGATTAAAAATACAATACATTCAATGATGAGGATGAGATTGCAAGTGATGATAATGCATTCCAGTCCTTGAAGGTTGGAGGGGGACAATATTTCCTAAGAAGGCTTAGGATTAATCACGACTTTTGACGATATTGTTTTCGGTGTATTCTTTCAAGTGCCAAAAAGGTTGTCAATTTTTAATTTTTTTGCTATTTATAATTTTTTTCTTTTAGTCCCACTATTCAACCTCGTCCCCATTGCTTACTTTATTTCCAACCTGGTTTCCAATAGTAAGCCCTGGATAGGAAACTTTCTCCCTGTATCCTGATTCGATACCGCATTTTGCTAGTAATGGATTTTTACCGTGTAGTTGGTGTTGTTATATCCAACGTGCATTACGTGTTTTCACGATCATTGTAATTAAAACATCCACGCCTTCTCAAAAATACTCCTTTCCTTTCAAGTTTGCTTTTATTAACCTGAAATGTAATACTGCGAATTAGCGGGCCAGATCGTAACATTTTAACTTTAAAAAAAAATGTGTTTTCATGACTTACAGCGCGACGAATTGATGTTGTTTTTACCCCAGACACCGCATACAAAAACAAACGCTAATGTAACGCACGTGTAGGCGCCAGACTATTCCTCATTTGCATACGTGTTCAAAAATCTTGCACATGCAAATGATCCAATACCAGGGTGAGAGAGTTCATAACTTAAAGGAAACATGCAGTGGAAATTCAGCTCATCTTGTTTTCATGCACATTACTATGTGTTGCAACAATACATACAAGATCTTAATACTTGTTTTCTTTGGAAGTGACAAGAAAGTGGTATTTTTTAAATTATTAGTAAATCCTTTCATCAATATATAAGAGGGCGCTATTTTGCTTTTGTCAAACAAGGTACTCCTTGCCAAAGGTGCGTTATGAACAGTACAAAAATTAGTCCTTCAAAATTACCCACAACATTATTTTTTGAAGAAATATTTGCCACTACGATTGTCCAAATAAGCTGTTTTACATGATAAACAATAAAAAGCGGAATTTACTCCAAGAAAATGAAGAAAACTTTGATATATATTTGTATACACAAAGCTATGGAGACGGTTCTGCCTTGAATGACATCACGCTTTGGCTCATGAATATGGAAATTTTCATTAGCATAAAAACTTTGAAACTTAAAATGTTGAAATTTCTCTTTTTTACTGCTTCCGAGGAGGTGGAAACTTCATAGTTACATGGCAAGAAAGCTGTTTTAAATGTATTTAAGTCATATAAATCCTATTACATGTTCCCGTTAACTGGACAGTGTTTCATAAAATAGTTGTCTACCCGACCACTCTGCGTTTGTAACAACAAACGCGAACCTCTAGTTATTTTTCCCCCCGTGATGTTGATGCATGTAGGTCTACATCGAGCAAATTAAAACTAATAACCAAATAGATATTTAGTATGATTGAAAGGCTGTGAATGTGACAGATGGCTAGGCGTCTGGCTGCAGATGTTTCCCTCGTAATTGTGGATCTTCGTTTGAATGAATTTTGTGCATACAGCATTTTCAAAAAACAGTGTCCAATTTTGGGGTGATGGCTTTGGAAAGAGTAAGGGCCCCGTCCCCCCC